CTTTATAAAAGGCTATTCATAATTTATTATAAATGTACTTGTAGGAGGTAGGAGAAACAGTACTTATAGTACTGATGTAATATCCACCATGGAAAGTCATTTAATGACTTCATGAAAAGTACTTGCAATTTGCTTTCAATGTACTAGTAGAAGAGTACTTACTTATCGTACAAATAAAATACCGAAGCAAATGAAAAGTCATTCAAATACTTTATAAATAATTATATGCAGGTATTCATAAAAATAGAAAGGGAGAAAGAATACTTTGAGTATAAATAAAAATATCCAGATGAATGGAAAGTCATTTTATTACTTTATATAAAGTATTTATAATTTGCAATAAATGTACTTGTAGAAGAAAGAGTACATACTTATAGTACCAATAAAATATTCAGATGAATGGAAAGTCATTTAAATACTCTGTAAAAAGTACTTACAGTTAGCTTTTAGAGTAATGGTAGAAGAAAAAGTAATTGTACAAATAAATAATACAAATTATACAAATAAAAAATAAAATTAATACAAATAAAATATCTAGTCAAATGAAAAGTCATTCAAGTACTTCATAAATTACCTGTAGTTATTCATAAATATCGAAAAAGAGTGTATCAGTCACATGACTTTACAAAGGAACATGTGTACTACCATCTGAAAAGACTGACATCTTAAATCTAAACTAATCTTTAGATTAGTTTAGATTTAAGATGTTAAGATCTCTCTTAGAAGTAAAATGATGAATTTATATTTCAAATAAAATTATGAATTTATACTTCGGTTGTACAGATAGATCATAGTCCAGTTTGAAAAATCATGATGCAAACGCAATTCAAATAAAAGAAAAATCATCTAATAACTTAAATCATCGGTGGGACATATTAAGCATTTACTCAGCTCCCCAGAGCTGGTGATATTCGAAAAATTTTATTTTAAAAATTATAAAAACTTAATTTGAAAATAATTTATTTTTAATATGGAAACCTGCAAACCTTATTTTCTATTTCATCATAAAGAAGAAATAGAAAAGAAGGTAGTACTACATTTCTAGGTACCCTGCTTAAAAAAAACTTTTTTTCGTAAAAATCAAAATTATAAAAAGATTTATTTAAACATTTTCAGATGATCATTTAAACGCAAAATCCCTCATTTTTAAAAGATTCTGCTCGTCATAAAAAATACAAGTAGGAAGAAAGATCGTATTTAATAATTTTGTTCCTGAGAGATAGATTGGATCCATAACTTATAAATTAAATTTATGAAATAATATAAGCAATCGACTTTCCATTTTTCTAACATAAATTGATTATTAGCTTCCAAATTCTCAATTAGTTTACTCGATTTTTCTTTCTTTTTTTCTTAACGGTCTTCATAAACTATAATTTTGTTGGTTTGACAGTTTTCTAGATAGAATGCTTATAAAAGCAAAAAATTAATGCTAAACTGTTATAATATTGTAGATTTTCTTTTAAGTAATTCACGGGAAAGATATAGTAACTTAATTACAAATATCAAAATTCTGTATTTTTGTTTTCAAAAAAATAAACAAAATAAGGTAAAAAGTTCAGTTGAGGACTTATTTTTAAAACAACTATGTTGAATGCATTTAATTATAAAAAAGAATTAAAAAAATTTTATAATCAGTTTATGATCTTCTGTATATTCTGTGCACAGAACGTAGTTTTTTTTTTTTTTTGCGTACAGAAAAAAAAAGTTTAACATTAAAATTAATTATAAAAAAACTCTTTAATGTTACAACATTCTTCCAGCGATTTTCTCCTTTTCTATAAACAAAATAAATGAAAAAATATAGCTTTAACATACAGATTAATGTCGTTTAAAATTACAGGATTTATTTATTAAAAATGAAAACCGTAAATGCAGAAATAAAATTAGAGTACTCTTAATGTAATTAATTTAACTCTTAATGTAATCTATAATTCAAATGCCACATCAAACTAGTCATATAATTAAATGCGTGTTTATTACAGGGAAGATTTATATTTAATTTATTTCTTTAATTGAAATGACAGGAATAATTTCATTAATTGAATTAGCCATTTCATTTCGCCGAGTCATTACGTTTAAATGTAGATCGTGAAGAAAGAATAGAGCATGACAAGATACCACATTATCAAGAAAAGAAATTTCAAATGAATTAGTGCTTGCAAATATTTACCATTCTATGAAACAAAACCTCAAAAACTGAAATCATACAAATTAAATGCGTGTTTACTAATAAACACCGGATTTTCCTTTCATTTTTTTTCCTTTATTTTTTTAGAAAGGAAAATCAACGTATTTCCTGGCTGCACTTGAAAGAGAAAGTAATTACGCCTGCCATCATCTAGTTCTGCAGTTGACATTCATCCGGTTTCCGGTCAACCTTTGTTTCGATTCTTTCAATTAGATAACTTATCCTTTCCTTCTGTGAATTCCTCTACTTCAACAAGCGAAGATAGTTCAGCAATCAAGACAAATATTATCGAAATTCCTGGATCAACGCAGAATGAATTAAAGGAATGAATTATCAAAGGGAAGTTGTGGAACGTGGCGAGCAAATTAATTGAAAGGAAATAAGGCGTCGAAAACGATGAAGATTTTTTTCTCTATTCTTTTCATCTAAGTACTTAATCGAAAAGTAAACAAAACTGCGGGAATGATATTTATTGATATAAGAGAAATCTGACGAGGCTGAGCAATGAAATTGTTCCTTGGAGAATTCTTCCTTAGTCTAACTAAATTCTCACGCGTGATTTATCTTAAAATCAGTAAATTGTAGTTTATTTTTATTCAAATAACTGCGCCTGCAATTATGCTTTTATTGGAAAATATGTCAAATTATGCTCAACATTTGATATATTGCTGTCAAATAATTGTTACTCAAAAAGTGATTTATTTTATTTTAGAATAATATCGTAAAACTAAGAAAAATAACTCAATCTTTTTAGCAAACGATTTCATATATAAAAAAATAAGAACACTTATTTTGAACGAACGGTTTAACAAATAAAAAGAAAAGAAGCAAACGATCTTTTAAGAGAACGATTTCAAAAATAACTATTTAATAGAATCGTTTTCAAATTATTAATTTTTATTCTATTTTTGAATAAAACGTGATCAACAAGTTCATTTTGACTAAAAGATTTCGAATCTAAATTTTCCTTTGTAGGAAATGTTGCCTGTATTTTAAGATTAGGTTGTAACAGAATCAGGATAAATAATCATGAAATACGAAGTCTTTTTTGAAGTAAGTAAAATATAAATCTTGTGTCATATTCTTTAAGATTAAAACTAATTCAAATTTCATAGAGTAATGCAAAAACGATTTATAAAATTAATAAAAAATAGAGAGATGTTGAAATTCGATGAAATTTTATTTTTCCATTGAGGCTTTGATTATTCCAAACAGATAAAACATACACCTGAGTTAAACATTTTCTAAAAATATGTCATGTTCACACAATTTATAATATTTTTGAGTATATAAAAAACATTAGAATACAAAATCAATAAAAATATCTCAATTCATGGAAACTATAACTAAATAATTATTAATGTGATTAACAGAACTAGGTCTTTTATTGAAATATTTATTCAAAGTTTTTGCTATTTGTTAAGAAACTGTTATAAATTACAGCTTTAATAATATAAATAATAGAAAATAAATCGTTAATAATCATCAAATTGGTTATATTTATATTAAACATGGTAAAGTGTAAATAGGAAAAATATTTGGAAATTAAAAACATTGCATTATGAGATGTTCTGCTAATAAAATATAAGCATAATTTCAGTGGAACATTTAGCAAAAATGCGACTAACTTTAATATTTTAACTAAAATCATTTAGAAAACCACAATTCATAAATATGAATAATTATTCAAGTAAGACACACATATTAGTTTGGCCATTCCAAAAATCTGATTAACGAAACATCACTGTTCCTAATATCAACTTAAATAAAATCATTTTAAGATAAATAAAAAATAATAACAAGTGAATTTTTACGAATGTACTAAAAAATAAACAAAAAACTACCTCCAATAAATTATTAAATCTCGAAAAAACGAACTTAGAAAAGTTGAAAATATTTTGATAAGCGATACTAAATCTACTAATTTATTAAAAAGAGGGGAAGCAAAATCGACTAAATTGATTACTAATAAATTTGCAAATCTTGTGAAAGTGTCTAAAATTAATAACACTTAAAATGCAAAAACAAAACAAAACAAAATTTTTTTATTTTGATCATAAAATGTTAAAAAAAAATATATATATATATACATAAATAAATAATGCGACTGACTAACTCTAAACTAATAAATCGAGATATATCCATGCAATAACGATTTTAAATAAAAACAATAAAAAGGAAAACATAAGATAAATGTCAAAGTTCATTATAAACAACGATTTTAAGTTTTAGTATTAATCTGCTTACGCTGTTAATGACAGCGAATATGTTTATAAAATGTCAGTCATAAATAAATTATTCAATGAAATGTCACTAAACAAATACAACAAAGCAAATCACATACTTGTATGCTATTATTAAAATTAATGTCCATTAGAACTGACAGCAATGTTTTGATTTCCAAAACACTACTGTCAACAAGTTTGTAAAAAAAAAATTTTTAAAGGAAAGAAAAAAAAACGGACAAAACTTTGACCGGTCGATGAATATCAAATCACTGATGTATCGATTAATATTTAATTCAGCGCTTTCGAAAAAAATTCGGAATTAAAATCGAAGATTAAAGTTAAAGTTTTAAGAGCTGTCACTAATCCTCCTCATCCCAGATGAGATGAGGATGAAATAGATGATGAGGCATCGCCCACGAAGTTCAGACAAAGATGCGGTTCAGACAAAGATGCGGTAAGGGCAAAAGGCATCGGCTTCGATCGGCCGAAAGATCACCAATATATAACCCCTTGTAACAATTGATTACAAGTTAGGAAACATGAAATGATATTAAAATCAATGAAAAGTGAATGTAACTTACCGATAATTGGCGGTGGCGTACGAAATCCCAAATTTTAGTCCTTATTGCACACAAACAGTGAGAAAAAAGACCAAAGCGTGAGGTTCTGTTGGCAAAGCCACGAGCAGCAGACGATCAAGTCGGTGTGTGTCAGAGCATTTGACGCAGCGATGCGCGCGCATCCTACGCTCGCCCACCATATAAGGGCAGACGATAGGTATTCGCCGAGTGTATTACGTCACGGACGCCAACAGAAGAAATCCGAAGCTTTGCCCCGATTTTTACTCGCCCGCCCGCTTGCCAAAACATTGCAGGAAATGATTTGCCCCATCGGAAGTGTGAACGCAGTGTTGCCAGATTGGGCTACAAGTAGCGGATTGGGCTACTTTTAAAAGTCCCCGCTACTGAAAATTGAATTTTCGCTACTTGCTACTTTTTGGGCTACTTATTATTTTTCGAACGCTACAAATCTTAAATATGCGCTACCTTTTTTCCTTTCTGAAATATATATATATTTTTTAGTTTTTTCCCTTCCCATTATAAAATGATTCTGAAAGTTTGCAGCTTCTTTACCATTTTTAAAAAGGACATTTTTGTTGTTGTTGAAAACGTTCTCGCTTCAGTTTTGGATTCTTGATATGTTTTACTGATGGAGTCTATAATCTTTCCATGTTTATGTTTCAAATCGTAGACTCGGGAAATCGCAAAGATATATATGGAAAAATGCACGGAGAGTATGATGGGGAAAATGTTNATATATATGATTTATTTTTGGGCTACAAAATGTTCGAATCCGCTACTTTTGGAGCTCCCATTCGCTACTTTTTAATCTTAAGTTCTGGCAACACTGTGTGAACGAGGGAACAGAGTGGGTTGCATGCGATTGTGGAATGCCGAAATCAGTTGAACAAAAAATAAATAATAATAAAATGAGGGATAAAGTGTAATCGTATTTCATTCATTATGTTTCGGTATTAACCTTGAGTTGAGCACGCGAAAGTCCATTTGTAATATAGTACTTCTCTTTTTTTATAGTTAATGAATGACAATTTTGAACTTTTTTCTGTACAACTTTATTTATTTACAGTTTTTTTTTTGTTTTTTTTTACTCTGCGAATTTAAATCAAGAAAAAACAACAACAAAAAAACACTTTCTATCAACTAATAAGCTTAAATGATAATTACAAAAGTAAACAACATTGCCAATATATATATATACTTATTTTTTATGAGAATTACAAAAGCAAACAACACTGACAGTCTAAACTTTTTTTGAAAAGGCTTCCTCTTTTTATTCAAAGAACTAGAACAAAAAGATAAATAACTATGATAAAATAATGTTTCTATTGCAATTTTTATCTTTTTTTTTACGTAATTGCTTATCTTATGGACAAAAACAAGGACAATACAAGAGTTATTCCATTTACTATTTAATTTTTCTTAATTCATTGTCTTATTTTTTATCGTTAATTTGTTTTTTTATTCATTTTTATTTATTTATTTTATTTATTTATTTATTTTTAAATTTAATTTAATTTCTTATGCATTTAAGAAAAAGTTGNATTTATTTATTTATTTTATTTATTTATTTTATTTATTTATTTATTTATTTCATTTATTTCTTTTATTTATTTATTTCTTTTATTTATTTTATTTATTTATTTTATCATTTTATTTATTTATTTACTTCATTTATTTACTTTACTTATTTATTTATTTTAAAAACTTAACTTTCTTTTTGTTCTAGTTTAGCTTGTACGAAAAAGAAAAACGCATTTCTCTTATTTTTGCTTACAATTTTTCAATCTTACTTCTGTCAAATCTAAGTCTATCGTATCTTATCTTGAAAAATCCGCCTTACATCCCCCCCTCCACTTTTATTTTTTTAGAGAAATACGTAACTGCAATTTTTCTTAAATAAATTTCCAACTTTAGTGAGTACAAGGCTCATCAAAATAAAACTCCCAATCTCATTGCTCCCTGTTGCAGCCAAACTTTCAATTGAAATAAAAACCGCATCTAACGAAATCTTCAAGATCGTCAATTTTATTCGTTAAATCAGGGTCATTCGTAGCTTCAGAGTCAAAATAAAACATTTCTGCCCTAATATGCAAGTACACAAAAATATCCATAAATAAAAACTGTACACTTTTTATTTTCATTGGCGAATTTGTTCATTGCACTAGTGTGCCAAGAAACCTCACTTTTTGAAAGCATTTTTCAATTGCTTTTATTTTTTTATTTATTTACTGTTATTTATTTATTTTTTTGAAACTAAATTTCAAGATTATTTCACAAAGTATAGAATATTCAAAATTTACCTCTGTATAATTTTTCTGCTTATTTGTCCAACAATGCTATAATTTTTCTCATAAATGATTTTCAGTTATGAATTTTTACAGAATGAATAATACCAAAATCTAGTGACTGCAGTAATTTGCAGGAAGAGATATAGATACTAAGAAATTTTTTAAACTGAAAACCGAAAGATAAGTAGGACATTGATAATTACGCGAAACAATGCTTCTCTTATGTATTTTTACAATGATTTATTTTACATAATGATTTAAATCTCTGGAAAAAAAATTGTCCAAACAAAAGTAAAATTTTTTCAAAAATAGTAAAAAAAATGTTTTTTTGCTCCATAAATAATTCGCTGATTTGGGTTTGATTCTTCATTAAATAGGGGTATTAGCCTTCTTTTTAAATCGCTTAAAATCTCGCTTAAATCGCTTAAAATCTTAAAATCTTTAATCTTCTTAAATCGCGGAATTCAGTAATTAGAGAATCCGAGTGTATTCAGATTGAAAAAAGGAAATATACTTTAAATGTTTGATTTTCTTTCTTTTCTTTTTCTTTTTATCTCTTTTTGTGTGTGTGTATTTGCATAGGTTTTATTTGAATTATATGAAGTCAACATACGAAAACATTTGACCTACATTCAACAGTTTATAATATTATAACCGTCAGTTAACAGCCGACCCAATTTTTAAGTTTACGACTATTAATGTTCAATTCCATAGTTTTGTAATTCTGAACCCAATCCAGAAGACAAGGGAACTCCTGAATCAAGTATAGGGACAAATCAAATGCATTAAGCACTTTATATTTTATTTTATAACCGTTGTTGAACCCACTTATTTTTTGCGTTTACGACTACTAACGTTCAACTCCGTTACCTTGTAATTTTGAATTCCATCCAGAAGACAAGGGAACTCCTGGATTAAGTGTTGGGAGAAATTTGCCTTCATGGAGGACTTTTTGATGTAACTAAATCGCATTTGCTTCAGATGGAGAGGAAAACCACAGAGACCTCCTACGGTTTGCTTGACGGCAAGGGGACTTTAACCCATGATCCGTTTACCACTGAGGATATTTTATGCCAGCACTGTGGTCGGTGCGGACATGGTGCGGAATCGGTATCGACCAGTTATCGCTGCTGTTCGAACCCGGTTTACTTCATTGGAAGGCGAATGCTCTATTCCTTGAGCCACCATGGCTCTACGTTGAGCATTTAAACATATGCTCAATGCTTGGCACGTACACTGTTTGGCACGTTGAGCACTTTTAAACTCGTGATCTAGTATCTTAGATCATAGCTTCCCAAAGTTAGCCCATAGGGAGTTGAAGATTCTTATGGGGGTACTAGCAATATTATGGGTATTTGAGGGGTCTACTGTTGTGGGTATTTGAGTGGTTGCGGGATACTGAAAAAGATATTTACGAAATATAAAATGAATTAATATTGAGTACCTATTAACATTTCTAAATTGCTCTGTTTGGTCTCGAAAAACTATCATTTTTAAGTCACCATATAATCATTAATATCATTTTTAAATCACCATATAATATTTAATATTAAAGAAACTACGCCATTAATATTCTTTGTTCTTAAACGGAAAAAATAAAATACTTTTTAACAATGACAAAAAAATATTCTAATACTCACTTTATGATTTCAACGTAGAACGGTATTAATTTCTTATTCAGAATTTAAAACATGTATTTTCTCATTGTTTAATAATTCAAAAAAAATATTGTAAAAATATTAATACGTTAAATAGAAAATTCGCTTCGTTATTTGGAATTTCCAAAATGTTCTTGGTTTCTCGAAAAAAAAATCGCAAAATAGAGATATTCTAAAATGAAAGTTCGTTAAATAGAAGTTCGACATTTGATGATAAATAGTTTAAAAATTTCATCGTAAAATAATGAATGAGAAAAGAGGGTATTAAATTAACATGATCAGGTGAATTCCGAGAATTTTTTTCTCACTAATCGGTAGTGCCTGTTGAGCGACTTGTGGTAAAAAAATTATTTTGCATTGAAATGATAGCATTTTGCTTGAATTGAATTTTAACGTTAAGTTTGATTAGTTGCTCAGAGGGTTCCTTTACAATTATTTGCTGATCACAGTTTCTTCATGCTTAATACTTTATTTATTTATTTATATGTTTATTTTTTAGCAATTTAGATCTTACGCAAACTTCTGAAATTTCAGCCTTTTACTGTGTAAAATATCGCTGTTTTAAAAACAAATAACCAAGAACAAACAAATAAGCAATGAAATTAAGTTAATAACAACAACTACTAATAGCTTCAGGCTACAGCTAGACCAACCTTTTCAAGTAGTTTTACTTGACAGTTAGTTAAATTCAACCATAATTAACTGTCAGTTTTAATCAACCGTTATTTAGCATAATAGAATGTATATGAGACAATTTTATTTTATTTTATAACCGTCGTTGAACAGCCGACCCAATTTCATGGGTTTACGACTACTTACGTTCAACTCCGTAGCCTTGTAATTTTGAACCAATCCAGAAGACAAGGAAACTCCTGGATCAGTACCCCCAGAGGTATTGATTTGTTGTGGGAACATGGAGGACTTTGAGTCTCGACAGATTTAACGTGCATCAGTCACCATTTACTACACGGGGAGTCTTCGGCCAGCGAGGATCGAACCCACGACCTCTTGGATATGGGCCAAGCGCCCTACCGACCAGGCTATCCCGGCCCTCTATATGAGACAATTATATAAATCGATGTTCACGTTACAATGTAGCTCTCTTGTTACTAATATATTCACTGTAGTTGCAAATAGAGCAATGCGTCTATCGCCTACAAAATGTGATTTGATAAAAATATCAAATGCACAGTACTG